GATCTAATATTATTTCTTCATCCCATCTAGTCTTTTCTTAACCCTAGCCTTTTCCTCCCTTCCACTGCCATCTCTCTCCCTCTCCTTCTCTAGTTTGTTCTCCTTTTACATGATATTGATTCATGGTCGACTCGAAGGGTGATTTCGACTTTGCATCCGACGGCCAAGGCGTTGTGGATCTTCTCCCCTTCCCGTCGTCGGCGTGATTTCAATCCTTGGCGGATCCATAGAGATTTCTTCTTCCCGTAGTACTTGTTGAAAGGGACCAACGAAAGGTTCGTGGTAATTCACAACGTCTCTCCGGAAAGGTGATCTTCTTCCTTGATTCATTTTCTTTCAAATTCTACTTACTTTTATGAGAGTTTGTTCACACAAGAGATTGTGTCTACCAATCGCCATCCTTTAGTAATCGTAGGTTTGTTACTTCTTGGCTCTTAGATCTAATTGTTATAGTTTGGTTATGTTGGAAACTACTACTTATGCAATGTTTTAATTTTCTTAAGTGTTTTGATTTGGTTTAGTCTCTCGTGTCGCTTGGCCTAAACGGGATTGACCATTTATGAGTTTTACATTGTTGTTCTAATCACTATTAACGAAAATCTGAAATTGTTCTTAAATTTCCGATCTTTGCATGTAGTCCTGCATCAAGATCAGCTCTGGCCTTCTTCCACCTCCAACTACAAGGGCAGAAAACCTTTCTTTTCCATTATTCTTCTTCCAATACTTGCCTTCCTCTTTCCTTTTTTTTTTTGCATCTTTTATAATTTCCATTATGAATTATATATTGTATACAATGCCTTTATGATTTTATGTTATTAGATTATGTTTCTTTCCATCAGTTTATTGATTCAATTTGTATGATTTATGAAGCAATCATGTTTTTCTCATACATTTCCTATTAATTTTCAAAATTGATGCATTCTTGGTCTTTCTAGTTTGCTTTCTGGAGAAGAATACTATTCCTTTCATTTGGATCTAGTTATGATACTTGTTTGGCGAAATAATTTATGGATTTAGTCCCATAAAAAAGGTGTCAACGAATGTTTTGCTAAATAAGCGTGCTTTTGTAATGCTTGTTCTTGTTAGTTTTCATTATTCATCTTGCTGTTTTTTGCTTCTAATGCATATTTGAAACAATACATTTTCTCAAATGCATGGTCTATTGTTTGAATTTACCAGTGCTTCCCGATTGACTCTGTGAACTGGATATTCCTCTGAGAGCCAGCATCTGATTTTGAAACACAAAGAGGCTTAGCTACCATTTTTCTGGCACTTAAACGTGGACAACCTTGTGATAGGATACATCTTTTTTGGAATTTCAGGGTGATTGCAAAATGCTGAGATTAAAATAAGGTTGGCTAAGCAGTTATAGAATTCTGCATAGCATTTCATTTTTAGAATGGATTCTAGAAATGAAGGACTTGGCCCATCGGGTCAAAGGTTTGTACAGGGCCCATCAACTTCTTCCAACTCCAACAGTGGCCTTCCAGAGATTGCTGGATTGAGTGCTCTAAGCCCTGTGTTAAATTTCTCAATTCAAACAGGTGAGGAATTTGCACTTGAATTTATGAGAGAACGATTTACTTCAAAGAAACCTTCTGGGTCAAATACATCAGCAGATCAAGGCTACAACACCAATTACATGGACCTTAGAGGTGTTCTTGGAATTTCCCATACAGGATCCGAAAGTGGGTCGGAGATGTCGATGCCTGCTGCCGGTGATAAATCACATTACAAAGAGATAGAGAAGAGAGGATTAAATGAAAGCGATAGTAGAAATCAGCATTATGCATCTTCTAGGTCAATTCCACGGGTCCCCTCTGGTGACGGCAGTAGTCGTGGGGGAGTTTCTCGTTGTTATTCTTCGGGGACATCTGATACCACATCAAAGAAGATGAAAATACTTTGCAGTTATGGTGGTAAGATTCTACCCAGACCCAGTGATGGTAAACTTAGGTATGTAGGTGGTGACACACGTATTATCCGAATCAGTAAAGATATATCCTGGCAAGAGCTCCTTCAAAAGACAACATCTATATACAATCAGGCTCACACTGTAAAATATCAGCTGCCTGGGGAGGATCTTGATGCATTGGTATCCGTTTCTTGTGATGAAGATTTACAAAATATGATGGAGGAATGTAGTGTTCTAGATGTTGGTGAAGCGTCACAGAAGCTGAGGATGTTCCTATTTCTGAGTGATTATGAAGATCTTCATTTCAGCCTTGGCAGCATTGAAGGGGACTCTGAAATTCAGTATGTGGTTGCTGTAAATGGCATGGACGTTGGTGTTGGCAAAACATCCAGTGATCATGGGATGGCAAGCACGTCAGCAAGTGACTTGGATCAATTAATGAATCTCAATATTGAAGCTGATAGAGCCAAAACAAGCAGAGTTCCATCGGAGACGGTTGGTATCCCTAGTGGACACTTAGCTAGCAACTTGGTAACTCCTACATCCTCAGCATTCCCAGAAAGTTTGTCCAGTGACTATGGAACCCATGTACACTCTTATGACAACAGCAGAATGCAATATGTGGAAGGCGAGCATTATCTCTACACTGCTTCCCAAGCTTCTGACAGCTTTCACAACATGAATAGCAGAATCTCTGTGCCTGCAGCAATTCCATCAGATTACAACTATAATTCTCTGTATTCACCAGTCGTTGAAACTTCTACATCAACAACGCCACATTACCTATCAACTCACATCCAGTTAGGTTCTGAAGGACAGAATAATGTTCCCAGAACTGCTGCTCCAAATGTACCAGCGACTGATAAAAAATTACCAGTTGATGTGTTAGCCAAAGAAAAAAATGAAAACGATCATTTTCTATCTCTTGAAAATGAAAATGCTGCACCCATAAAGCAGGAAGCTTCTCTTGTTCCTCCCATACCTGAGCATGTCTCATCTCTCTTTTCTCTTAAACATAATGGGAATATGCCAGAAGCTGCAGTGGTTTTATCAACAGCTGATGCTACTGTAAGTTCTGGTTTGGCTTCTCACTTAAATGAAGATGATCGCTATGCATCAGGTGGAGCTGTTGCTTCAGAATGCTCTGATTATGATACTGACATTGCTGATCTCAGCTATAATGATCCCCCTCGCCCTCCACGATTCTTTCACTCTGAGAGGATTCCTAGGGAGCAGGCTGAATTCCTGAATAGATTGTCCAAATCTGATGATTCAATTGGAGCTCAATTTCTAAATCTGCAACCACGTTCTGGTGTGTTTGAAGAGTCTATTGCTGAAGCTGCTGATTCATCACTTGAAGGAAACACAATTTCTCAAATGGAAAGATTATCTGCAGCAAAACCTCCAAAACCTAATACTACCACTTTGGAGGATGGTTTAGTGCAGTTTGAAAAATATAAAGAACTTGCTGATGCAATCAAGAAAACAAACAAAGATGGTGTAGAGGAAGCTTCAGATAATTCAGTGGCTTATGCTCAATATGAGCAGAAGAGTGAGTTGAACTGCAATGATAATAAAGAAAGGAGCGAGCCTGTTGCAGGAGGAAATTTGGAGAAGCACAATGATATTGGTGAAACAGGTCCCAAAAAAGGTGGTTACAAAGAAATGCCCATTGATGGAGTAAAGGTGGTTGCTTCTTCGGCAACACTGATGAACAATCCTACCGCAATTCTACCAGAATTTCCTTGGGAAGGGACGCCCATGAGTGCAGCCTTCTCAACCAATGTTAGTGAGCATATGGGAGCATTTCGATGGGCAGAAGCCTCTTCTGTTGGAGCTGTTTTACAGGGGGCAGAACAGAGGGATATTGCCATTGATATCAATGATCATTTTCCTAGTAACCTACTTGCAGATATCTTTTCGAATGCTGGAATTAGTGACGACTCAGCTGTTATACGACCATTGCGCAAGGATGACGCTGGCATAAGTTTGAACATGCCTAAACATGAACCCCAGCGGTGGTCTTTCTTCAGGAATTTGGCTCAAGGTGAGTTTGCAAGAAAAGATGTTTCTCTTATGGATCAAGACCACATAGGGTACTCTCCTCCGCTAGTAAAGGTCGATAACAGGGATCAAAGGGCTTATATTTCACCATTGGACGGTGTGGCAGTTGGTTTGAGCCATATGGATTCACAAGTAGAATTTGATGAAGAAATGCAGCAGGAATCATCCAGCAACATCGAAGATGATGCTAGTGCTATGCACCAAGATTATATATCATCGCAGGTCAGTCAACCTCACTTAATGGATAAGGTTGGAGAGAGCTTTCAGGTTGAAAACCCATTTGTGAAGGTTGGAGAGAACCTAACAACTACTACGACAGAGAATGAGGTACCTTTCTCTTTGAATATATTTTATATGTTGACCACTGACCACCTCACGCATGATCCTCTCCTCAAACGGCACAAACGAACGGACACCCTTTTGTTTCCTCAAAACCGCACATAGGAGACAAAACCTTCCCATTCGACATTCACGTGATTGCCTCTCTTTGTCTCTGTTCGTTCGCATGACACTCCAGATGGAAGACCTTGATCTCTCCCTCACTCGAATCCTCCTTCATGTATGCAGGAAGCCCGATCCCCGCTTGCCCTCTTGCCTCCCTCGGACGCACGCAAGGAAGCCTGACCACCCGTACTCCTGATTCGATCCGCGCACGTTGTCTCCTTTCTCCGACCCATCCCGCAGTTCTCACCCGCACCTGCGTCGCTTGTCCCAACTTCATCCACACATGCGACCTCCCCTCTTCGGCCCTCGTGCAATCTAAGCCGCACTCCTCACCCAGCCCAAATCTCTGACTTCCTAATCATTGTCGATTTGTTGTTTAGGTCACTATATGCCCAACACCAAACTAAAAAAAAATAGATAACAAGTATATATCTCTTTCTCATTTGCTTAAACAACAAGTATCGAAGGCCCGTCATTGTATCTTTGATTTGGCAGGGAGAATATCTAAAGAAAACTTGTGTCGTCGTATTTTATTATTCGTCCAAGAAGATTGAAAAGCAAGTGCCTATCCTATACACCAATATGGTGCGGGATGCCGGGAGGTTGCCGAAATTTTAAATGATAAAAGAGCATAATTAATTTTAAAACAAATATATATATATATATATATATCATAATAATAAAATCATATAACTCTAATAAAAATGAAAATGTTTCCCTTCCTAAAGATTACAAAATTCATTTACAATACAAGCTTTAGTTTTGGTCTATTATCTATTGTCTTTCTCCATGCACTATCATCTGGAGTTTGGAGTTTTTGGAAGAGAAATTTTGGAAGTTTAAGGAAGTCTTATGGAAGGGATAAAGTATATAAACTATCGAAATCCTTGTATAGATTGAAGCAGTCTCCAAGAGCATGGTTTGGAATATTCTCAAATTATGTAAAAGGCCATGGTTTTAAACAATGTCAGGCAAATCATACCTTGTTTGTGAAGCAATCAGAAATAGATAAGGTAGCAGTACTTATTGTATATGTGGATGACATCATCCTTAATGGAAATGATATAGATGAATAATGAAGATCAAGCAGGCTTTATCTAAGGTGTTTGAAGTTAAAGATCTAGGATCACTTAGATATTTCCTTGGTATGAAGGTAGCTTGATCAAGCAAAGGTATATTTATTTTCCAACGCAAGTATATCTTAGACCTATTGAAGGAGATCGGCGTGCTGGGATGCAGACCAGCCATACACATGGATCCTAAGAAGAAACTTGGTATGGAAAAGGAGGGAATTCCATTAGATAAAGGAATATATCAATGTTTTGTAGGAAAGCTTATATACCTCTCCCACACCTGTCCAGATATTGGGTTTGCTGTGAGTATGGTAAGACAATATATGAGTAATCCTATGGAGCAAATGGAGGTAGTGTAGAATCTGAACTAAGAGCATTAGTAGTTACTATTTGTGAAGATATTTCAATCAGATAAGTATTGATTGAACTGGGAATAAAGATTAAAGGCACGATAAAGTTGAAATGTGATAATCAAGCCGCAATCAGTATGGCCAAGGATCCAGTACATCACGACGGAACAAAATAATTACTATTGATAGATATTTTATATATGAGAAAATAGAGAACTCGAAAATTGAAGTAGTATATACCTCAACTTATTAACAACTTGTTGATGTTCTAACAAAGGCATTATCGAGCTCTCTACTTGATAAGTTTGTTTGCAAGTTAGGATTGTACAACCTATACAACCCAACTTGAGGGGGAGTGTTGAATAACACAACCAAGGGGATACCACATCAGCAATCCGTGGGCAGCAATTCGAGGACTGCAGTTGGAGATCCGTAGGCAGCAATCAGAGGGTTGCAGTTGGAGATCAGTGAGTAGTAATCTAAAGACTACAGTTGAAGATCTATGGGCAGTAATCCGAGGATTGCAGTTGGAGATCCATAGAATATGATGATTATAATTAATTAGATTAAAAGTCTTTCCTTTTTCTGTATATTATCCTATAATGTATATATATATATAATGATTCTAAGGAATATAATAGAATTTGAATTTCTCTCTAAATAATTTCTTCAATATTTAAATCACAATTTAAAATTTTTTTAACTCAAACCCTACGTTGTTGTTTTCTTTAAAATGACTATGAAGCTTGGGTTATTATCAATTCAATAATCATTTTAATATTAGCATTGATATCTTCGTTCTTCTTATCATTAGAGACGTTCCTCCATCTTCAGCTTTAAATCTTTCACCATTTTTTGCTATTATCCATTCAATATCGAATAATATATCATCAACAACTAAAGGATTTATTTCATCTTCTCTAATTATTCATCATTATAATTTGAGGTGTTTGTCTTTCAGTTTTTTATTAAACATAACATGACTATTCAACATTTTAACCATGTTAATTCATTCTATAACTAATTGGTTCCTTCTTTTTGTATAATAGAATATATATATAATAAAAATTATAAAAGTTAACCAGAATGAGGGGTTGCCTCAAAACACCTCAAGGTGTTAAGCTTCTAGGCGTACGCCTCATTTAAAAAAGATGTAAGCCTCACGGGCACTAGTTAGGCTTAAGCCACAAGCGCTCATTGCATGCCTTAGTTTGAGGCACACCTCGAGGCTTGCGCCTCAAATGATTTTTTAAATCATGCTTTGTCACATGTCCGAGAAGATACAACCAGTCTAAACAGCATTACTCATCGCTCGAATGGATTCAACTATTTATTCTACACAAACAACCGTCAATGTTTTGGTCATCCTACGCTCTATTTATTTAACTTTCTTAATCGATTGGTTTAATCAAGTCCATAACAAGAAATCCTAAGTATTGAATTTTTTTGGTTTTTAAAGAGTTTTACCTTGTCCATCATTGATGGCTTCTCATATGCGTCTAATAGAACTATTACCATGTGCTCTGATCTTTATGTCAAGCTCCTAAATATGAGATTTGAGAATGCTTCGCGGATTTGCTAAAAATGCTCTAGCACTTTGATGATAACCGTGTTGATAGGAAATTTTAATTGGAAAGAGCTATTTTTTTTAAATGCTCTCAAAATTTTAAAATTAATTCAAGAGCTAAACTCAAATCCTACTAAAAGTTTAAATCCTTAAAATGAAATTTGTCATCAAAACTTAAAATCAAAATCCATTCACACTTCCCAATAGTTTGGCAAGAATGTTAAATTGAAGAATAACTTCAGCTCACAAATAGTAGATGTCTTGTGAAATGTATTACTACAATTCATTCTTAATTGATTTCTCACTAGCATAGACGTGGCACGTGCCCTCTGATCGGGTGATTTTACCACGAAATGACACAACTATATTACGGTCACGATCAAAGCCCATACGTTCCCTAATAGTTAAAACCTCCTTAAGTAATGAATTATAGGGTGCACTTAATAAGATATAAAATTCAACTTTTTAGATAAGCATCCACCCCGGGTCTACAAGGTGCTCTTGGACGATGCAACCCATGGTTGCTGACAAGGTTCCTTCTGTCAAGTTGGGTCGACTACCTCCTCTGACTAAAGTAGATCATGGTCCATGACAGTCCAGGATGGCAGAACCATATGATCTTGATAAGACCCGTCATCATTCCCTCATTACCCCCTTTAAGTATAACTGATAAATTTCAAATCATAAACTCCAAAATTTAAAACTAAATTCAAATCTTAAAATTGTTTATATTATATGTTAGGTAATTATTACAACCTATTAAATGACTAGCCTTAATCGAAAGTTCTCTCTCATTGTCAAGAGGGGGTAATTAACCATAGGGGCTTGTGCATATGAGAAACCATAACTCAAATCATAAAGTCGTCGCAAAATGAAGGCGAAATCTCAGCCTAGTGTCTTATCTAAAACCTAATCTGCCTTCTAAAAATCTACCCCGGAATCTAAACTCATTAAAACTCTCCCCATTAACAAAAGAGGCGTGGAGAGGCCAGGGCACAAATTTCGGAGCCCAAAATATGTAACCATTTTTAGCAGATCTGCTAATTGCCTGTTTCTTTGTTTGTATGTAGGAATTGAAGTTTTCGATTGCAGAAACTTGTGGGCAAGCTTTTGATACAGATATTGATTTCAATAACCTGCAGGTTTGGTGCTGGAATCAGTTTTAAGTTATTATATGTTGATTATGTTGATTATCTAGAAGAACTATTAAGTGATTTCCACTAATTGCATTGAAATCTTTGAGCTTATTTCTGCGCATGCATGCTTATTATTTTGCCAATTTGCCACTGTTTTTTTTTTTTTAAGAAAGAAAGCCTGATCTAAGGTCTGAGATTCTTAGTTAAACCTTAGTCGCATTAACTGTGTAAGCAGATTTTTTATTTGCCTAATTGGCTACATAAGAATCCTTGTTCTTCTTTTAAGCAATCTAATGCAATGTTTGCTTTATATTTTGAGCCCTGTCTGAGGCTTATTCAAGAGTTGGATGTTTTTCTTCATAATTTGAAAGAATTTTAATTGATTATTGTTCTTGCCTTAAATTATATCTGTTATTGTGTTATTAGGTTAGACTCCTATACTTGTACTGCTTGAATTCTATATTTTATTGCTTTTAAAATTAGAAAACTTAAAAGAATATATGTTCACACTGAGTGCTGGAGATTCACTATTTTGAAAGTATGCCGCCATCTACAATTCTCCAAACAACATTTTGAAAACTTTTGGAAAGGCTTTGTAGCATTTGCTCCCTTTTTTTGTTACATTTGCAACATAACGCAATTTAGAATTGTTATTGTTATTGATGTAATTAAAATTGACACAATTATTTATAGTTACATACCTGTAATCATGTAGCCGACCCCATTGTACATACCTGTAATTGATGAGGACATCGAGGATCAACGGCTACGACCGTGTCTATTTATTTTGATGTATTTGATTTGTTATTTGTACTTTTTCCTTTCTACCCTCACTTGAGGGCTTTGTCTTATGTTTGCCCTAGGGACAATTGTGTTTTTTATTTTCCTTCATGTATTTGGCTATTTAAGCCTTCCCCTTCCTCTTGGAAAGGGATGATGATTGATAAATGAAAATTTCTACTTTTGATCTCTTTGTGAGTTCATTCTTCCAAGATCTCTTAGTGAGTTCGTCGGAAGAACTAGATCTCTTTGTGAGTTCTAGCGTTCGGCCAAGTTAATTGTTTGGAAATCCGGATTGAAGACAAATGTGGTTAGTGAATTCGTAGTCGCTCGAATCCCTTGAATTTTCCCTCTCTTCCTCCCCTTGCAATTGCCGCCGCCTAGCCCTGAGCTGCCCAAGCCGCCGGCCAATTGGTGGCCACATCCCGCCGGCCGGCCACCCCACGCCATGACCCACCCCTTGCCCTTCCTCTAGTCGCCGGCCGCCCCTTCCATGGAGTTTCAAATTTTGAAATTTCAAATTGTCATGAGCCATTAATTATTTCCTAATTTAGCTCCTTAATTTACGCCATCAATTTAATTGATTTTCAACTTCGAATTTGAAATTCAAATTGTTTAAATTGATTGCCCTCCTAAATGGAAGTTTTCTCTCGTTAAGAAAACTGAAAATTTATTTCAGATTTTTATAAAAATCTGAAATTAAATTGGTGGTCCCCCACTTATTCAAAACTCAAGCCCCTCTCTCCTCCTTATGTGGCCGACCCCCCCTTAATGGGCCATCTCTCTCTCCAAATTACATTAATGGCTCCACTAAATCAGCCCCTGATTACCTCCTCCATTAATACCCATAGCTATTATTGAATTAATTTGAAATTTCAAATTAATCTTCCTCCAAAACCACTTGAAGCTAAAATTAATTTCAGTTTTCTAAATTCCTCCTCTCCAATTAATTTTCTTTCCAAACCTAGGCCTAATTCAAAGGGAATTAACTCTTGTTTCCCTCAACTGTTGTCCACGGATTTCCCCACCAAACCCTTCCAGCTCACGTAAATCCAGTAGGAGGAAATCTTGGAATTTTTCCTAGCCAACTGGCTGTCCAGATTTCTGGACAGCTTCTAATTGCTGTCCAAAACTTCAGAACAGCAACGTTGCTGTCCAGAATCTACCCAAGACCAGCCTCCTTTCTGTCCAGAGAATTCTGGACTTTTGGCATGTCAGCCCGCCCTCCCACAAACTTGGAAATTGCTGTCCCAATTTTGTTCTCCAGCTGTCCAGAGAATCCAACAGCCTTCTAGTGCTGTTTTGCCATCCGGCATACTCCCATTTGTTGCCCGGAAGACTCCATCGGCTTCCCACCCACAGAACTTCGCCAAGATCAACCGCCACAATTCGGAACTTCCTCTGCGCACCTCAAACAAGACCTACGAACTTGACTATGGTGAACTCTTCCCCAAGTTTCCTATTTTCCTAGTTTATTTTCAATTGTGGTTATATTTTGACTCACAAAGTTCATGTCAAGCTCTTTACCGCTAAAGCTTAGAGAACTAGAGAGTTGAGTGAGGGACTCATGCATAATGCCTAATCTCATTGTTAGTTTAGGGATTTACGTTGAAAATCATTCATGTACGCAATATTAGATTAACTTGATTGTTTTATGATCTTAACTTTTACGCGCGTGATTCGGCCTAAGCTTGCCTTACCGCTCTTTGTGTTTTCTTTTGTCGTTCAACATCAACATAAAGTTTATAATTATTGTGCTCTAAATATTAAGTGTGCAAATTCATCAAGTATATCATCTTTGCGTGGTTGTTTCACATCAGTAATCATGTTTAAAATGAACGATGCTTTGTAGCAGGCTGGGAATTGTTACGAACTAGGCTGATTTCATTTATTTTGATAATGGTGAATTAGCATAACAGAATTGTTGGGACAATTTGGAAAATATGGGAAAGCTGAGCAAATTATATAGTTTAAGAATATTTCTTTAGATAAATGTACTTATTTTGCAGAAGGAATAGATGTAAGTATCATCTAATTTCCGCTAAGCATCAATAATTTTGTTTTTATAGGCAAACCATAGATGGAAGAATAACAGCAAAGCTACAACGCCTGTTTCAGTTGCAACAGAGAATTCTTGGGACATTTAGGCAAATTCAAGAAAGCTGAGGAAATTATATATTTTGAGAGTATTCCTTCACGTAATTGTACCTATTTGGAAGAAGGAATAGATGGAATTATCGTCCAGTTTCCACTGACCACTGAAAATTCCATTTTTCAAGGCAAACCTGAAATGGATGAGTAATTACAAAGCTTCGACGCTAGTTTTAGTTGCAGTCTATACCTTTTTTTTTCATGCCTCCGTGAAATATAATGTTGCACTATGGTGCGATGGACGTAAAAGCTATTTTTACTAGTTAAGCGCCTGTTATTGCGTGGAGATATCTACAACCAAGAAGATAATAGAACTTTTTTTGGGCAATTTGGATGATTTTTATGTTATTTATGAAATCATTAATGTCCATTATAGTAAATATTGTCTTTTGATACTAGACGTGTGGTTTGTAGTGATGATCGTTTAAGGATTAGTTCATTATCTAAGTTATATAGGCTTGTCTCAGCAAGGACAAAAAGTGATTCAGGGAACAAACTCCAATGAAGGTTTGAGTTGAGTTGAAAAAATCTAATAAATTTGCCCTCAATAGTGCCCAAGCGTTCTTCAGACTGTGAGCTGATTTTACCTTCATTATATCACCTAAGTTCCTGCAAGTTCACCTGAACTCTGAGCTTATTGAGAAGATAAATAATGGATCAATGCAATGATGAAGGCAGGAGATGAGAAAAATAGAAGCGCGAAAAGAAAAAGGCGGGGAAAAGGGTGGGATGGATCATACAGGTAAAGGAGATTAAGAAAATGGAGAAAACAAGTAATAAGAAGAGTTCAAAGTAGTGTGAGGGACTAACTTTATTTTACTTCTTTAGTTCCTGAGTTAATTCTTTCTAATCTTTTGAAAAATGATTAAAAAAATCATCTCCTCCTTCATTACAACTTTTTGAGGTGATGTTTTTTAATCCTTTACTCTTCATTCGTTTTTAGACCAACATTTGGGTTTATATGGATAAGAATGGTCATTTGACTGGATGCACACATGAATAAAAAAGAATGGTAAATGCTCTTGAGGTTTTGGATATTAATTCCCGTGAAATTTGGGTTATTTCAAGTTTTGAATATTTTTATAATTATTTCAGGTTAACTTTGTTTGAAATCTTTTTTCAATTTTGAATATATTCTATCCTAGGTTGTTTTCCTTTGTTTGATATATTCAAGTTTTAATTGGTTATATTCATGAAATCATGTTCCTCAGGAGAGTGTGTCTTGGGATGACGATGTCACTGTTGTATTCACGAATATCTCCAACAACAACAATAATAACAACATCAAGCATTTATCTCACTACGTGGGGTCGCCACATGAATCATTTTTCTTCATTGTGTCATGTTAAGAGTCAAATTTTCATTTGAATTTAATAAAAAAAAATCATTTTTGATACTTTCTAACCAAGTATTTTTAGGCTTACCTTTATATTTCTTAACAAAGGTCAAATCTAATACATCTACTCTCCTAACCAAGTCATCGGAAGGCTGGTGTTTTATGTGAACAAACCATCTAAGGTGACTCTCTCTAATCTTACCTATCACTGGAGCTACTCCAATATTTTCATGTTATACTTGTTTTGCATTCTGTCTCTAAGAGTAAAGCCACTGATCCACCTAAGCATCCTCATCTTTGCAACGCTTAATTTAATTTTATGCTCCTCTTTTAATGGACAATATTTTGCACCATTAAGCATTGCATGTCTTACCATCATCTCATAGAAATTTCTATTATGTTTGAGGGGTATTTTCTATCTCACAACAGTCCCGATGCATTCCTCCACTTTAACCATCCAACTTGAATTCTACTAATAATTTCCACATCTATTTCACCATCACTTTGAACAATAGACTCGAGATATCTAAAATTTGTACTCTTTTTAATGGCTTGATCGCCCAAATTCACAATCTTATGCACTAGATCTATTATTACTAAAATTGCACTCTATGCATTCATGAATATCTCTGCACCAATAAATGAGTGGCATACGATTCAATTTGAGTCTAAATTGCCTAATATAATGTTCGAACTTGGTCGGGTGACAAGTATATAATTATGAATCAATGAATGAATT